TCTCTTTTTCTTTCCCGAAAATTAAACTTCCTATTAAAAAACAATGTTTGGAATGTCTGTATGCACATATTTTACTCTATTTTGAACAGTTAATTTGACCAGTAGAAGAAAGAAAGGATAATACTTCACAAAACTCTGTTTTGTGCCAAAAATAAAAATATAGACACACAAAAAAAATTACTGTCCATCTATTTGGCCACGCAAGGTGTATACAGTAGATGTGAAGGTAGGAAATGTTCCCGTATCAGAAAGGAAAATACTGACTCGTATTTGTTAGAGATCTAAAACAAACAGAAAAGAACCAGCTTTATTTGTATGATGAATGTTTTAATTTGTGATATTCCATAATTAACCTGTCACGTTTTTTTTTTCTTTTTCCCTACTAAGCATAATAAGAGAGTCTTACTGTAAAACCTCCTTTTGCTCAGTCTGACCCATTTTTCTAATAACGGTAACTGCACCTACCTGAAGAAGTTCTGAAAATAGGCAAAATAAACTGGGATAATCAGTGCACTTGTTCACTTTATCACTGAGCAATGTCAATACCATTAATATATTTTTTTAATAGTTTGAATGGATGGTCTAGCCTGAATTCTGACATAATGTAAATGATGAGACTTGTGTACAATAATTCCTGCTATAGTAAAATATACTAGTAAATCAAAATCTTTGGTTTCCATTTTAGGTTAAACAGCCTCCTGAAATTAATTTAGTTCTGCGTCCTCAGGGACTGACTGGTGATAATGAAGTATATGCCAAAGTTGATTTGTGGGTCAAATGTCCACATACTTACCCTGATACGTGAGTGAACATTAAAATACAATCTTTTTTTCTGAATATTTTTCTTTGTTTTCCATAGTAAAGCGTAAGCTGAAAAGCAGGTAGTTTTGCTCAGGTGCTATTATTCAGGCTTTCTGCGTGTCAGTACTAAGCCTGTGGTGGTATTTTAAAGTAGGTGACTAAAACTGCACCTGAATTGGATGTGGTCTCTTGAGTGATAGAGAGTAACAGGGATGCATCTGTCTCTAGAAGACTTGAGACCGTGATTTTTAGCTTGAGAATACAGAAGCATAGGTATACTTATTAGCATCTTAGTGGCCTTTTTGAACTTTTTCACCTCATGACTTGTTCTGCTGAAAAGGGGACTGAATCTTCATTTTTAAAGCCATCTGCTGTCCTAGCTGTAGCTGCTGTTCCTGTTTTATGCTGAATTAGCCTTCTGGAAGACTAATGGCTGTTTTCTATACAGAATATAAAAAGGCTTGCAGGTGATCTGGACCTTCCTTGTTTGGGACTGGAAAGTAATTTTGGGGGTAAACATTACTCTGGGAGCACAGACCAAAATGATTAGGTCAGTCCTTCTGTTACTGGTTGTGTCCACAGCATAACTCCCGTTAGCCCGTCCATGTGTACAATGACCTGAGTGGTGTAAAAGGGAACGGTTATTCCTTACCAAGTGGTAACTCAGTTATACCCTGCATCGCAGGGCATAGCAACCACTGTAATTTTTTATTTAAGTTGCAGATGTTCTACTTGTTCCTAGAAATATTTTTTTATTTTGTTGTTATTTATTGCAGCCTGTTTCTTTACGTTTGTAACACCTGTATAGTGGTAATAAATAAATTTTAAACACCTAAATGCTATTCTGGTAATATTTTTAATGGACTGTTACATAGCTTACTACTTGAGAGCTGAATTATAAGAGACTGCAGAGTTTCCTGGTAGCCCTTCTGTTGGGTATAACTAACAAGCAGTCTCCAGCCGGAAAATTTAATGTTAATGATTATAAAATAGTATTTCTGGTTTTGTTGTATATTTTATGTATAATATTTATATACTGCTTATTTGAGCATTGACTGATTACCGTGTCACTGTAAACTCCTTTTTCCTTCACCCACTAAATCTTTTTATCAGCCTTTTGTGTCTTACACAATTGCATTTTACAATCAGTTTTTTTAATGAGGACATTTTTTCTGTTCTGTTGCTTGTATCGTTTTGTTTCTTCTCCCAGTGTCCCTGAAATACAACTAAAAAATTCAAAAGGCTTGTCAAATGAGAAAATAAATGAATTAAAATCTAGACTAGCAGAATTGGCAAGACAGCGCTGCGGAGAGGTAAGAGTTTTTCACTTCCCTGAGAAGAGAACTCGGGTCCTAAATATTCTAAAACATGTGTGTGGTATAATATAATCAAATACATTCAAATGGGAAGAATGAGTTGTGTTGTTGCTAAGGAAGAAGAGAATTGCTTTCTTTCTTAAGAATGTTTCTAATTAATAAAAGTTCAGAATAGGCATGCTCTAAAAACACAGTGCTATGTAAATATTGCAAATTGTATCCCTGTTCACGGACAGCTGGATTCTTATTCTAACAGTTATTTCACATTATGAAAGGTCTTACTACCACTATAAAATTGGGAGCTTTCTGCCTCTTTCGTTTTAATTTGAATATTATAAGTGGCTATAGACTATTTAAGTGAACAATGATTACATAGGCAGTTTTTCAGTACTGCCTGGTTCATCTAACACAGAACTGGAGGCGAGAGACCTTGACTGTGTTTCCAGCTCAAAGCTGACCTCTGTAGCTTTTGCACAGCCACTATGTGCCATTATGTCTTTTGTTTTTTCAATTTTTTTAGTAAAATTGATGCTTGTCTTCCCCCCAAATAGTATGAAAAGAGAGAGATGGGTAGATATGAGATGTTTAGAATGTGCATTTATTTTTTTAAGGGTTTTTATTAGTCCCCAGATATGTTTGGTGTTAACGATACCTTTAAATTGTTGCTGAGGACTAAAATGGTTGAAAGAGTTACTTGCAAGCATTGAATTCTCTGTGAGAACAGGTTATAGTATGTTTCTGATCTCCATGTGGAAATGTTACGCATCCGATTTGTTCAATTTGCCATTTTAAAAGTGAGAAATACGCAGCTGTGGTAGTTAAAATTGGAAATTGAAAGCAAAACATTCTCTGAAGTCTTTCTACCATTTATATACTACGCTTCTGTTCTATTTTGTTTACAAGTTTTTATGCAGATACTTTCATAAAAACTATTTTAGCCAGATGCTATTTTGTTTCGGTTCTGTTTAATATCAAAGAATTTCCTCAAAACATTTTTAATGTCTTTGGAAGTTAACAGTTTACCAGTGTTCTCTGGTTTGGTTTTTTTTTTTTTTTTTTTTTGTAATAAATGTGCCATGGACAGTTGAGAGCAAAGAGGTGAAATAAGGTTCAAGTTCTCCATCTGGTTTTTACACCCTGAGATATATACCAGGTCCGCTCACAGCTGACCCCAGGAAAGCTATTGGGCTGTAGGACATTAAATTCCAGTCTGATTTCTGGTCTTATTGAAAGGAGCTAAAAATATGTTATAGGTTTTCCTAATATTAATTTTCCAAAGGGAGAATAATCGTGTTTGCTTTAGGGACATGTAGATACAGTTTTGAATTACATACATAATATACATTTTTGATGAATGACATACACAACTAATTCAAGAATTTTCTCTGCAGGGAAAGGAAGATGGTTATTCTCTCAGCCTTTATAGAGATTTTTTTATTGAAGTGTATTCTGCAGTAGGGGAAGTTTGAAAATGCCTCAGCTATCTGTCAAATTGAACAGTGGATAGATTTTTTTTTTTTTTGAATTATCTAGGTTCCTCTTTTTCTTTTTTTAATACATGTATTTACATGCATGCTTGCCTTTCTTTCAGAATAATAACGTGGGAAAGATATTTCATTCTGCACATGGCAGATATGTGCGTATTGTGCTATTCTTTCTGTTCCAAATTGCCTTCTGGGTTCATTTTTATGTGCGAGCAGGGGATTCAGTGTTTGAGAATTTTCTAAATGTCAGTCCATTACAGGCAGATGCTAAACTTTGGTATGGCTACGCTCCCATCTGTGCATGGAAATCAAGCCCAGTGACTGCTGAGATGAATCTTCCTGATGTACCGTTGCTTTAATTTTGGAGACATAGCGGTCTGCTGGTGATAGGAATTGTCCAAATTAATAAAGGGACGTTACTAGACTGATGAAAGCTCAGATCCCAACAGGTCAACAAGTCATCAGTTCACGCCTACATAAGCAGTAACTCAAGACTGATTGCAAACAAGCAAGCCATGCAACAGAATTTGGATGAATTTTCAGTGCAGTTCTTATTTTAGTACTTGTGGCTATATAAACCTGGAGTCCCTTTAGTGGTTTTACAGTTGGGCTAGTTTGTGGAGGAAAGATTGGATTTAATATTAGCAATGAAATAAGCAACTTTTTCTTAGCAGTGTGTACAGTAATACCCAGTTGCAAAGGGATAATTCTGTTGTAGCTTATATGTCATAAATGCATATCTTTGCAAATAGAAAAACGCTCCTAAAATAAGGGAGATGAGAAAGATGTTTTGTTTGTTTGTTTTTTGAGAGGATGCTTGAACTTGGCATTCTTTCAGTAATTTTCAGCATCTTTGCTACCATAGTCAGTGATTTTTTTCACGTCACGGTTCATTAATAAATAGTTCTGAGAAAGACCTAATAAGTAACAAAATCGGCAGTCACACACTGACGCTGCTGTGTTGCTTTTGGAAGTTGGGTGTCAGTTAGTAAACTGACTATGTGTTCTACCTGTGCTTTGAACTGTTTTGAGCTCTGGGTGTCATTCATCTTTATCTTCTTTCAGGTGATGATATTTGAACTTGCAGACCACATACAGTCATTTCTCAGTGAGTATAATAAACCACCTTCCAAGTCATTTCATGAAGAAATGCTAAAAAATCATCAAAAGGAACAGGAAAGACTGGCCCAGGAGGAATTGCGTAGGGTACAAGAAGTGAAGAGAAGAGAAGAGCAGGAGGTAAGAGAAATTAAAGTATGACTAACCCTCTGCTCTTAAAATAACATAAACAATCGTGATCTTGTAAATCATCCCTTCATGTAATACCTTATTAGCAATAAATTGGTATTTTAGTAAATTATTAGCCTGTCAGTCCTGTCATTCTCAGTTGATCAATAAGTACCATATGAACTATCTGCTACTGCTGTTGTGACATCTTTTACTGGTGTGCTTTTAGTCCTCAGAAGCCCGGAACAAACTTAAATATTGATCGTTAACCCTATGAAAGCCATTCATAAAGAGGACCTTATACAGACATATGACCAAAGTCCGTTCCATCTTAATCTAGGAAGTATTAGCCAGTTAGATATGTAATCATACCTCACTTCCCAGTAGGGTGACTGAAATCTTCTCTGTGACAGACTTCTTCAGAGTTCGATAGGTTTAATCTAAACAGGCATCTTAATGGACCTAGATACTATTCTTCACTACAAGCGAGGGGATTCATCTAAATCCCACAGACACTTGTAGTGTAGAAAGAGAGTCTTCACACAGTGGGAGTATGGGCAGTATAAGTACTATTTTCTTCTTTTTTTTAAGAACACTTTAGCTTAGTTCTCAATATCTTTTCTGTGTGTGGAAGTTCATTGTCGAGTCTGTCAGTAAAAGTAATTTTATTGTTGTCTAAGGCGCCATTCTCCTATATCATACAGTTGTTGCTGTTTTCTCTAACTTGCTCAGGAGAGCTAATCTGACTTCATTTTTTATTCTGCTGAGATCCACAAATCTGCTTAAACACTCTTCAGTATCCTAGCTTTCTTTGTCAGAGTAAGATTAGCAGTTGCACTGTATATACTGTTGCATGTCTAATAGCATTGAAATTAATTTCAGCAACGTGAAATCCTTAATGAGATTCAGAGAAGGGAAGAAGAGAAAAGAGGAGAAAGAAAAAAGAAAGAGATTGCTAAACAGGTATTCTTTTTAAGCAGTTGTGCAAAACCATTGCAATAACTTTTTTTTCTCAGTACTACAGTACACGTTTATAAAAACTGGGGAGTATTACGTGACTAAATTGTTCTGGGCGTCTTTTCTCATCCAGTGCTTCTAATAGATCTAGATTTTAAAAGTACTGTTTCTTCTTGATTATATGCGAGTTATTTCTGAAAGAAAATCAACCGTAGGACAATTAAATATATTCATTAATATATTTGCATCTTTTCAGTGTACTGAAATGGATATTTACAAACAGATATTGAATAAAGCTGTTAACGGTGTTTCCAATTTATTGTAAGGTATCCTTATGTTCTTGCTCGTACACCGTGCTGAAATACACTTTTTGAATCACAGCGCTTCTTCCTCACTGTCGTGTGCATCTCTATTATGAAAATTAATATTTCTGTTTTCTGGGGGACTTCACATGATAGTTGAAGTGTTATGCATATATATCGAGGATAGGAGCAGCTTCTTTGCTTATGCAGTATTTTTCCTAATTCATAGGAACGTCTGGAAATAGCTTCTCTGGCAAGTCAAGAGAATTGTCACAGGAGAGAAACTACAGGGTATAGAGTTGTTTCGAGTTTAAATGGGAGCTGTCTGGAACACGGAGGGAACAACAAACACCGTCCAAATTCAACTGGACGTTCCAAGTATGTATGTCAGCCTGGGTGTCAATTTTTCTTTGACAAGCATTAGATTTTAAAGTGAAATTTGAAGGCAAGAATGTAACATGCTGTATTCCTAAACTGTTCATTTTTTATTTTTTTCTATCTTCATTTGGCAGGGTGTGGCAAATTCATGTGGTAGGGGTAAATTGGAAACTTTCTCTCCAATTAGGAGAGAAAGATTAGCGCTCAGTGTGACTTAGAAAGTATCTGCCAATCACAGGAAAATGTCTTCAGGGTTTACTTAATTTCTTGAAAGTATGTGATATGTTGGCAATTCCAGGTAAAATTTGTTTCATTTCCACTGATGAAGATTTTGAAATAGCACAGTAAATTGGTGCTTATACTTGTCTCAAAGATCTTTTGTAAAGATATAGTGGTGTAACGTTCCCTTTCAGAGAATCAGTTTATGCTGATCACATATACAAAGCAAATTCTTAGAGTTACGGGAGAGTTCTTTTGCTGTTACATAACTCATCTAAGTTAGGGTTTCCGATGGTATAGGTAGGCACTAATGAGCTTTTGAATGTTTTATTTTCCGTTTCTAAGCCTCTGTGGAGTATCTTTGGATGTAAAACAGTTAGGAAACTACCATCTAGTTCATAGTACTGTTTCACTGGCTGTCTTAAACTCTTTTTGTCCCTGCTTTACAAGGTTGTTTTTCAAGATTAGAAGCAAAGACCACAACTTAGCTACAAGGAAAAGGCTGAAAAAGAAATTGTTTTAGCCAGCTATGTGCTCTGGTTTGTGCCTATCTCTGGCTTTTGGTGGGTCGTATATGGAAGTGAAGACCTTTTTCCAGGAAAGGCATTATTACTAGATGGTATATTTTGAAGAAGCGTCTTCCTGGAAAGTAGTTACTTGTTTCAGCAGCTGTGATTACCGTGGCTTCTTCAGAAGTAATGACAATTACTTCTGATTATTTTAGATTTTAATCATTTCATTTATAAAATATATTTTAATTCAGATAGCCAGATATGTTCTTTGTAGAATTTTCTTTATACAGCACTTGTCAGAAGTTCCCTGTGGCACCTCTTTTGTATGTAGGTTTTTTTCTTTTTTATTTTTGAATAAATTCGATATTTTGAAAGAGCTTCTACGTTACCCTTTGCGTACTCACGTGATCTCTACACGACTGCATTTATTTAGAGGGCACACTGTGTAGTGGAGGTGTTTCTGTTAATTCTGAAGTAGATTATACCCAGAAGTAATGGAAATTGATTGGGATTAGTGGTCTGGAGTTCTTTCTGATCTCATGTGGAGCCTTGCACATGCGCGTGTGCGTGTGAGGAGAAACACCCTAGTCATACTGGCTTTGAAAGTGTTTTCTAAATGCTAACTTCAATGTATTAAAAAGTATTACGTAAGGTTATTTTAAAATATGCAATTGAATAGAACAGCGTCTGTTAGAAATTCTCATTCATATTTCTATTAATGCTACAGGTAACAGCTGAAACTTGTTAAAAGGTTTCATTTAGATTAAAAACTGATCTAATATCTCCCTTCATGCAGCTCAAACAGAGAAATCAGGTTGGACTATTTTGTTAGCAGAAGCTTTTGTCTGTGAGTTTCCAAGCCTGCAGGCCCAGTAGAATTAAAAAAAAAAATACGTTTTCTGTTTTCTTTAGAAAGTATAGAGATTTCTGTAGCTATTTAGGTTTGGAACCTACCTTTTCTTTTAGTTTAAACAACATCTTCGTTTTCTTGAAGAAAAAATCTAGAGGAGTAAAGGAGGCAAATGGAAAACCCACATTAAGGCAGGAAAAGAAATTAAGCTGAAGCTGGAATTAACTTTAAAAGCTACATTTGTTTTTTGAATGTTTTGAAAGATAAGACAAATGAAATTTATTTTCCAGAACTGTAGTGTGTCTTTCTTTTTTTTTTTTTCCTTAATTGGAAGTGTCATTCCAAGCTGCAGAAGTAGTAAGGCTTGGATTCAACTTTTTACTGAGAAGGCTTTAAGCGTATATTCCCGGTGCAACGTGTTGTTGTTGCTACAATGCTAGATTTCTTATCAGACCTGCGTGTTTGCACTAGCTCAGTATCTTTGAAATTAGTGGATTTATCCACTAATCCAGATGGATGAAGAGGTCTTTGAAAGCTAATCCTATTGCCAAATTGATATTTTTGTTCAATGCAACAAGGTTATCTTTCTGAGTGTGGGAAGAGTGTGGTTCTGCTTACATTGCAGGCGAGAACGCCATCTTTCTGTTGGTAATAATGAAGAGTCCCCTGGAAATTATGAAGTTTTGAACTTTAGTACCAGTGGTGCTGGGCAGCTTATTGTCCATAAAGGAAAATGTATAGGTAAGCAAAATAACAATTGCAGCTTGAAATACTGTGGGTTTTTTTTCTTGTTTGTTTGGGGGGATGGGAGGAGTAGTGCTCACATAATGCAATTAGTTGTCTTATCCCGTGGAGGCAAGTTGTGCTTCGTGAAATGTAAACAATGTAAACAGGTGCAAAGCAGCGAGGATGGAGAGAAGATCGCAGTCAAGAGTGGGAGGGAGTAATAAGAACTGTTATTTTGTGATAAATATTTCTTATTTTCTTAGTACTATTTTAGGTAAAAATTTGCTTCTCCAGATCCAATTATTTCACTGAATGACAATACCCAGAAAACCTTCTCAACATTTTTTCTTCTCTATATAACTAAAATAACCCTGAGAATCATTTGCTTTTAAATTTCAATAGCTGGCTTGTCAGATGCACATGGCTGCCAGGCAAGAAATCATTTAGCTGTCGGTAACATGTGTGAAACCACTGATAAGCACAGGGTTACAAAACACCATTATTGCTGATAGCAATGGAATTAAAGCCATAGTTTAAGAGAAAACTTAAGTATGGACAAGGGTAGGAGACTTTCAGAGCTAATTAGGAGCTAAAAGGCCTCCCTGAAGTGCCCATGTGAATGGACCGTGAAATGTTTTCATTGTTCTTTTTCCACGTTGGACTTCCTCAGTGGAGGGATGAGCAGTCTGGAAGTCTCTGGAGCAAAGAGAATGTTGTTATTTTGCGGTTTGAGGAAGATCAATTATTACTACTATGCGTAGAGTTCAGCATTTGCTCAACAGGAAAAGTATCAGTTATTGAAACCTGAAGTTCTTTAAAATATATGTCAAGTCATGCCAATACGCTATTGTTTTCAGGATTTTTATTTGACTACTGCTAGTATTTTGTTTCTATAGCGTTCAGTTTTATCAGAGCTGACATTTTGCAGACTGCAATTATGAATGTAGATTTGTTTCTAGAATTGCAGAAAACAGGCTTACTTTTCCTCAGCATTTGCAGGAGCTTTGTCGAGCCCTTAGAGGGAAGGGGAACACAGCTTCTTCTGTTTCTCTTTATGCATAGGCAAGGATGAGCAGCTGGGTAAATCAGTCTACAACGCCTTGGAAATTCGCAGTGGAGAGTTTGTGTTAGTGTATGAGTGGGTTCTGCAATGGCAAAAAAAGATGGGAAAATTTCTTACCACACATGAAATAGAAAAGATTGAGAAGTGTAAGAAACAGGTAATGCATCTTTTTGTATTTGGCTTAATAAGGTTTAGTGGGGGGTTCCTGTGCTTTTCTTGGGGCTGTTAATATATATTGAACTCAGGAGTGTGGTGATGAGCCTGAAAATGCTGGTGTTCAGAGTACTTCTGCCATAGAGGAAGATGGATATGCTGGGGTATTCAGAGAGTCATTTACAAGAATATAAGTGTAAGAAAGTGTATTTGCAAGTGTGCATAAATAAAGTAAGTAATAAAATATTAATTAAAATTCTGAAGAAAGAGGAAACCAAGCTTATCTGGCAGAAGCAAAAGTTCTTGCCACGTGTCTATAATGTCTCCTCTTCAAGTAAGACTGAGAATGTCGCATATTCTAGATATATTTGATTTATGTTATATTTTATTAATGGCACGTTCATGAAACTTGACTCTTAGCACATGTTATGTTGTGTTTCTCTTAACAGCTTCAGGGTGCAGAAACAGAGTTCAGCTCACTGACGAAGCTAAGTCACCCAAACGTAGTACATTATAGATGCATGAACCTTAAAGAGCGGGATGATTCAATTGTGGTGGACATTTTAGTGGAGCACATAAGTGGATGCAGCCTTTCTACGTACTTATGCAAAGAGACTCCGGTTCCTATTGATCAGTTACGCCATTATGTGACCCAGATTTTGTCAGCTCTTGACTACTTGCATAGTAATTCGGTGGTGCACAAAGTTCTTTGTGCTTCCAGTATTTTGGTAGATGCTGAAGGAAACATCAAGGTGACAGACTACAGCATTTCCAAGCGCTTAGCTGACATCTGCAAAGCAGATGTTTTTGAACAAACCAAAGTTCGTTTTAGTGAGGATGCTCTTCCCAGCAAACCTGGAAAAAAGGGAGATGTGTGGAGTCTGGGCTTGCTTCTGCTTTCTCTCAGCCAGGGCCAAGTAACCAGGGAATATCCAGTTGCTGTTCCTAGCAGTTTACCTGCTGACTTCCAAGACTTTCTGGAAAAGTACGTGTTTGTTGTGTTCCTTTATCTTTTACTCCTTGATTTCTAAAAGAAAAGACTTTCTTGAACAGTTTTTCGAAAGAACACGTAAATCCCCCTATGTCAGTAGTCATAGTTTTTAGAGAAGAGGTACTCACGCCAGGCTCAGGCTGCTAACCTGGGGTTCAGGAGAACAGGTCTGGTGCTCTCTTCTGCTCTGCCTTGCCACCGACTTTCTGTATCACTACGGACAAGTCATTTAGTCTTACTTTGCCTCTGATTCCCGTCTGAATGATGAAGGTGATGATAATTTCTTAAATCTAAGAAGTATTTTGAATATTTAGTATTTTGAATATTTGGAATAGCCCTTTGGAAAGTTCTCTTTTTGATGTTGTAACAGATGTGTTTGCTTGGAAGATAAGGAAAGATGGAGTCCTCAGCAGTTGTTACAACATAGTTTTATAAACCTTCCACGAACGAAAATACCTATAGCAGAAGAAAACGTAGATGGTAAGGAAGTCTGTTCTTTTTCTGTTCTGCTATATAAGCAGCCTGACATAGGTAAGATGTCTGCAGCTGCAGAAGATCTGAGCTGCGCTAGAGCATCACGAGACTGTTTGTGCAAGTGCTTTACATTAACTAACCTAGAAGATACAGACCATATCACCTTTAAGTTCCTTGACTCGCTGGGGTGGACTGACTGCCAGTGTATCGTCATTAGAGGAAGTTGATGTTTTAATTAAGCCTATAAATTCATCCGCTTCTTGCACAGTGTAAATGTCAGCCTTAGCTTTCTCCTTGGGTAAATTCTATTCCAGTGAGACTTCTTCCCTCGTTATGTTCTTGTTGGAATCGGTTCCTTTGCCCAGTATAATACATTAGTAATTAAAAGCTGTATTAAGGTTTGTGTTTGTACCTGGGTTTAACTCTAGTCAACAGAGCAGTCCTATATTTTAGGGTTTACCTTCTTCCTAACGCTTACTTAACGTTGCGTTGCGCTTTCCCTCCACCCCCATGCTGCCAGTAGTGGTAATTTTGATGTCTTGGTTTCAGATTCAGCAGGAATAGATTGCGTTGAGACAGTTGTACCCAGCAGTCAGATCTCCAGTGCTTCATTCTTCACAGAAACACAGAGGCAATTTTCACGTTACTACAACGAGTTCGAAGAGTTAAAATTACTTGGCAAAGGGGCTTTTGGAGCCGTCATTAAGGTATGGTATAAAAGTTAATTCCCACAACATAAAGTCCTTTTCGGGGATGCATTTGTTTTCTCTGGAGCAAAGCAATACATTCAATGTTTGCTTTGCTTCATTTATTATTTTCTAACGCTCTGTGTCTGTATTGTGCATTGTATCTGGAATTGAATAGACTGAAATGTTTTGAGAGAGATTACTGGTAGTCTGGGGAGAGGCCTGTCAGTACAGGGAAGCTTGTATTTGAATTGCAGTCATTTGCCAAGTGGAAGGAAAACTTCCCTCCTTGATGAAATCATTCCACTGTGTTCTGCTGGCTCTTCTTGGTAAGCATTTGACTTCAGATTTGTTTGAATTTTGCAGGTGCAAAATAAGCTTGATGGCTGCTGTTATGCTGTGAAACGTATCCGCATCAACCCTGCTAGCAAGCAATTTCGGAGGATTAAAGGGGAAGTAACATTACTTTCCCGCTTGAATCATGAGAATATTGTGAGATATTACAATGCTTGGATAGAAAAACATGAAAGTCCCGTTCACAGTGTGTCATCATCTGAAACTCCTGAAGAGAAAAGAGTGCCCAGCAAGGCCGACCTTTTCGTCCTTCCCAGTGAGGAGACAAATGATGTGGAAGCCAATGCTCCTCCTCCAGTTTTGACAAGCTCAGTTGAGTGGAGTACTTCGTGTGAAAGATCCTCCAGCAACAAATTCAGTGGAACTGATCAAGAGTCCAGTGATGATGACGACGATGGTGACGGAGTGTTTTCACATTCATTTTTGTAAGTAAGCGTCAGTGTTGGCATTAAAGGAAACAGCAGCACAGTTGGTTATTGCAAGTTTGTCTTTCATGATTCTTGCTTCTTTTGTTGGACAACGTTCACCGTATTTTCATTTTGTCCTCGAGTACAGGAATATTATATTTGCTTGCAGTCAGGTAGCCAGGGGGAGCTGTGGAGGGGGGGGGATTTGTCATTTAAAAACTCAATGCAAGAGGAAAACTCTATTTTAGACTTTTCTAGAAGTTTCATGTCTCTCTCTTTCAGAATGCCTGGCTATTTAATTCTGCTATGTTGGAAGTAAACATATAAATAAACAGTAACAGAAATATTAAAAATTCTGCAAAATGCCCTACTTTTCCCTTCTTTTTTGTTTGGATTTTTTGTTAACATATTTCATATCTGCATCTGTTCTTCTACTTGCAGTGTTTTTAAAGCACTGAATTGCAGTAAACGTTTCCTGGTTCTGCTTATTGAATGCAAAAATTAAATTATACTGCTGCAAAGATGTCTCCTCTTTAAGAAACAGAGCTATCCGAGGAAAAGTTTTACTTTGTTTAGCTTTGCAAACAGGATTTTTTTTTTTTTTTTTTAAGAGTCAAAGTCTTGAACAGAAGCTTAGATTTTCTTTTTTCAGCAAATCATCTTTGTTTCCCTGTTAATATTTCCTTGTAATATATATTTAAGGAATACTAAAACTTTTGTTTTCTAAACAGGCCAACCACAGATTCTGAAAGCGAAATAATTTTTGATAATGAGGATGAAAACAGTAAAGGTCATCCTCCAGTAAGTATAAAGTTAAGGCTATTGAAAATGTGAAGATAATAAAACAGTCTTTGATAAACAAACAAGTCAGGGTGGGTTTTTTTTGACTTTTTCGTGCGAGTCTAGAACCATTTAGGGCGATGTTCCATCAGAGCAACTGTCATGCCGCCTGATGAACTGCGTACCATAAAATTAAAGAATCTGATACAGCTAATCTGGACTCTGTTTCTCATGGTGTTTATTGAGCTCAATGTGAATCCCATTTTATAGTCATGAGCCTCGTTCTTGCTAGTTTAAGACTTCAGGATTTACATGATTTATGAATTTACCATGTAGATTGCCTTATATCATCTGAAAGTTGAATTTCTGTTCTGCTTGTAGATGATATAAACCAGCATATTTGCTCATACTGCATACTTTCTCAATGTAGCAAGAGTACATGTTAGCAGTCAGAAAGAGAAAGGAAATTGAAATAATGTGTGGGATTTTACGTGTTTTTAAGATTTTTGTATCACACCACTTGCTGGGAAAAGTCAGTGCACTGTATTGCTGGAAACCTGATGCAGTTTCCTACAGCATATAGAATCTGTCATTGCCAATACTGGTGATTTATAAGATGCTCGTCTTAATGCTTGATCTTCCTCTTTCTGTTGAAATGTATGTTGGCATGGCAAAGCTTTCAATATCTAATTTGGTGAGATGGCAGATACAAAATCCAGGGCAGTATGTTTTGCTGGAGAGGAACAGGAAGGATTTATATACTGTATCTAAATTGAATTTTTTTTGCATTATTACTTTACTAAGTATGTTGTCTGTATTTCAGTTTCCAAAAATTAATTTTTATATGTGATACACTCTTGAGATTTAGATTTCATCCAGAGCTTCTGCAGTGTACTTCTTCCAGTGTCTAGCTATAGCAAACTGTTAATTATTATGACTTTGGAAGTGAGAGTTGGGTCATGTCTGTTTTTATAGCAGATCTAGGAGCAATGATGGTGCAGAAATGTCAATATATTGCTTTACTGTTATTAAAAGGCAGCCATAGAAGGTGAGTTCACACGAATGTGTTCTGGACATTAAAAAATAACAGTATATATTAAAAAAAAAAAAAAAAAAACCTTGGACTGCTTCCTGTAGCTAACTCTTTTGTTACTTTCACTGTGATAAAGGATGAAGAATGCAATGAAAAGAATAGCAATGGAGAAGAAGACAAGCCACCAGTGATTCAGACAGTGCATTATCTATACATCCAGGTAGGTTGTTTATGATTTTGAAGAAGACAGTGCTGTTTTTTCCAACCTGCAGAGATTAGTTGCTGTTTTTGATGAGAAAAGTAACAACCCTTTAAGAAGTGCAAAATGAGAGTGACGTGCACTGTTCTTTTTGCAATGGAATAGTTTTTTGAAAGGTTTTGCTGGTGATAATTTGTATCCTTTCTGAGAGGAAGGAAGATGCTGTGGCACCGCAGGGGTCCTCCGCCTTCCTGGGGTTCCACAGCAGTGGCTTGTGGCAACATGCTAGAGAGAGCAATGATTTGTAGTGCCGTAGCGTGTGCCATGATCGCTTCTGTTTCTTGTGGACCAGTGAAAGTTGGCAACCCGTGGCTAACCTTAGAACGAACAAACATACCTTCTTCAATCCCTGGCTTCCAGACCATTGAACCCAAAAAACCCAGCTTTATCACAGCAGTTGAAGATAAGCAGTGATCTCCAGTGCTGTTGAATACAATATATTTCTCTGCTTCCTATCTTTTTGTACTGTGCTTGCTCTTTGCGTAGAATACCCCCCTACCCGTTTACACTGTAACTAGTGTTCTTGAGTTTGGTTGTGGTAGTAATTTCCAATGGGTGTTGAAATCTACTGTGTTAACTTCCAGAGGTGAAGTTACATTTCATGGATGTGAAAACATCCACGTTCTTTTCAAAGACGCTGTATTGTGTATGTCGTCTTTTTTAAACAGAAAATAGAGTAATTGGTAATGCTATTATATAGCTCTAGCAGTAGGCCCAAACCAAAATTTCTGAAGGTTTAGAACTTCAGGCTTTACTACTGAGATCATCTTCATTCTATTGGGAGTTAGACTATTTCTGGGAGAATAGAATGGCACATCTAACCTGTTCTGTGATTCTGTGATGGCGTGCAACTTTTATAAAGCACTTAATGTTATCCCTGGTCTGGAAGGAAGATGCGACTAGGTGGAACTAGATAGTAATAAGCTTGTTTGCATGTGTTAAGTATGTCCATAATAGAAGCTGTTAAGGAGCCAAGTAAAATAAAGCCGGAGATGCATTAAATGTTCATTTAAATGTACATTATGCCTGAACTGGTTTCCTCTTGTTTTTAAGACTGATGTTGGAGAATATACTGCTTTACAAGTTAATGCAGTCATTCCAGAAAATGGAGTAATACCCGTAAGCGAGTGCATGCGTTTCTTTTTAGCTAAAACCCATCTCTCAGAACATTCCAAATAACTGAATGTTTTGGTGATATTATTTGCTCCTGAACTTGTATTAAAAGAACCAAGCATTAATGTGCTCGCACGTACAAGTTTCTAATAGTCTTTTTTTCTTTATTGCTTGTTCTTCCTCCCTGTCCCCCTCCATGCACGACTGAAGATGGAGTACTGTGAAAAGAGCACATTAAGGGATACTATTGACCAAGGTTTATGCGAAGACACCAGTCGGCTTTGGAGGCTTTTCCGAGAGATTTTAGATGGATTGGCTTATATTCATGAAAAGGTTAGTAAGGATGATGCTTTTGTGATCTGTCCACATCTGTATGTATGTCATGCCTCCTTCTGTATGGTTTTCTTCTTGTTCTGTTCATTTTTGAGTATTTGATTACATAACTATATATATTAGCAAGGTTTGTTCCTTACCCATTCCATTATAAATCTGTTACAGGGTTTCAGAATATAGTATCATAAACTTGAATTTGATAAGGAATCCCTTTAGATGTTTTCTTTTTGTCACAAAAATTTACCTAGCTTAAAAAAACGTTATGTTAGATATTTGTTACCACCGAAAAATGTTTCTAGCTTCTGGGCTACAAATTACAATCTTGCTTTGAAGTTAATAATCAGTGACTTAATGCAATAGTTTTCCACTGCGTACAGAATAACAATAAAGCATCTAATACAGTTTTTCTGTCTGTGATAGAGAGAGTTTTATTTTGCATTGTGTTTATTGTGCCTCACATTCTGTGGCTCTTTTTTTTTTTTTTTTTTTTGTTCCCCTACTATAACAGGGAATGATCCACAGAGACTTGAAACCTGTGAACATTTTTTTAGATTCTGGCGATCATGTGAAAATTGGTGATTTTGGTTTAGCCACAGATCATCCAGCAAATGCTGTAAGTACATCTAAAAGTGAATGAAAAAATCAAATTTGGTGTTGTAATAACATGAAAGATTGAAATAAAAGATAACATTCATCAGACTTTGTATTATGAATGCCATAATTTTTTTTTTTTTTCTAAGTTTCTAGAATTAAACCTTATATTGCCAACCAAAACAGCAGGAAAAGCCAACAGAAACATTTCAAGTGCCATTTACAAAATAGCTGGGTTTTTTTTCTGATTTCAGGTTGTCTCTAAGCAAGAAGAAAATCACTCAGATAATTGTGCAAAGTCTGACCCATCAGGTTAGTATATATAGAAGCTTATTCTAGCTGATTTCAAGCAGCCTTATGTCCGACAATCTTGTGTACTCGATTAAAGAGAAAGTTTTCATACATCTTTGAAAATAAAAAGCTGGTTCCTTGGGCTTCTTTTGGAGGGGGAGGGGGTAGGATGGGATATTATCATTCCTGTTTTACTGAAGAAAAACCCCCAGTTTCTTGGTAGATATGTTACATCTATTCTGGCTTTCTTGATGGTTATATCTAAAAAGGAATTCACTTCCACTGTTAGCTTTCTGCCACAGATCAGTGCTTTTCCGTGGTGAGATGCAGACCATCTCTGTGTGGCTCTTCTGCCTCAACTTCTGTTTTCTTGTCTGTACAGGACAACCTCAAGACTTCAGGGCTTTTTGTTCCGTGTTTTTTTAGTATCTTCTATAACAGGCTAAATTTTGTGTTTTGAGAAAAATGATAATATATTGTATATCCTAAGGTGAGTGTAGTGGAAGTGAAATCTAGTGTCGCTGTGTCCTGATCAACTAAAATTCTGTAAAATTATAGAACAAGGTACTTAACGTGCAAAAGTAAGAACTATCTGTTCGGTGAACTGTTGAAGACTACCTGGGTATCTCTCACGAAGGACTCCGTTACCACCTGGAAGAAATGAGGACAAAAGATACTGGGTTTTCCTGACTTTGATGCTGTTTTCTTGAAACTGATACTCTCGTCTCTTGCCGTTTAGGTAATTTGACAGGGATGGTTGGCACTGCACTGTATGTCAGTCCAGAGGTCCAAGGAAACACTAAATCTACATATAATCAGGTATGATTAAGTAAACTTAATAAAAAGGCTGTATGGATTCTAGGGTACCAGCTACAGCACAAGCTG